TGGCATTGTAAAAGTACCTAAATTCACTTCATTGATTTTAATATTCAGTTACTGTTCTTAAAAATCCTTTTCATTCATTTCAATCAAAACAACATAAATTGATTTATATTGTACTATAAGGAAGAAACCGAATTGTTTTTGTATGAAAAAATTCAAGTTAGATGTTTTTTTAAGTGATGTCTGTTCGTTGGGCGCCATACTTATTACTGAAAGATATGATAACATATCGTGTATTACCCTGGTGACTCTAGGCAAGGACTTACAACTACATTTCAACACAAAAGTAAACAACACAACTAATTTAAAACAATAACCGTAAATTTTTATTCAGTAAATATAGAAAGTAAACTGACTGGACTGCAAAGAGATTATTTAACCATTTTTATTTTCGTTTGACAAGTGACGTTTCAAAGTCATCGCCCGCAGATAAACAGCACATAACCCAGTCTCGAATAGATTCTGAGCGTACAAAGATTTCATCGAAAGAAAGTTATAGGTGTATGGACAATTATGAATTTGCGAGCACACGTGAGTTAAAGCACGTCGGCCAGCGGTCCTAATCGGTAAATGTTATTAGCAACATACGTCACACTGATTACATTGCGTATATTTGTGTGATTGTATAATAAAAAGGAAAGAAGGAAAGAAAATATACCCGAGTAGATTCTGATGAATAAATTAGAGAGTAAAATTAGAGATATCTTTCCAAATATCGTATCAATTTCAATTAATATAGATAACATTTCATAATACCACATTTGAATGAAAAATATTGTATTGTTTCTATAATAATTAATTTTACTCTAAGTTATCGTCATGTGCAAATATTCATTCGTTAAATAAAAATTGAACAAAGAAATTTAAAAAAAAAACGACTAGAGAAAGATTTTGATTGATTTGAAATTATGAGATCTCATGTTGTCATAGATGACTATCAAGACATGCACAAACCAAACCTCAAGTTTTCATCCCCATATTCTCCGTATTTTAGTTTATTTATTTATTTATTAAAAACAATTACAGTGTCTTTACAGGATTTATCCCAAAACGATACTGTAAGTAAAAACAGTAAGTAACAGTTATTTATACATAAAAATCATTTGCATACATCTCTGGGCGACTTCTTTGAAGTTCGGCAGGCTACAGTTGTAGATATCTACTTGTATTGAAATAATATTAATAAGTCTTATGGCGCGTGATATAGGAGCATATCGAAGTAAATTTGTTCGCGTTACGGGAACGCTTAACGCTTTTTTATTTATTTATTGAGTTAGTTTTTTCATAAAACAAAAAAAGAATTGTCCACGTTTGAAGGCGATGTACATAATAAATAAGAATTATTTGCAGTGTTACGTACTACGCCAAAAATAACATCATTAACATCCCGTGACGTGGCGAAAAGCCAAAACCACATTTTATGCAAAATGTTGATTCCAAAAATATTTTTGTTTTAACTGGACTCAAAGCGGTATTATTGTTTATTTTATCGTCTATAATTATAATTACTCTATCGTCAAATCTATTACGGAACTTGCGTCAGTTTTCAAGTTTATCGAAAATACGCATGGACATAAATAACAATAGGTTTATATCGTAAACCAATTTATGACTAAAATATTTTTTTGAACAAGAAGCAGACAGACCAAAGCAATTCTTTGAAATATAATTTGTCTATTTATTTGAAACGTTATTAGAACTACACCTTTCGTAAATAAAGCTCAAGTATTACTTGTAGTTTCAATCTATTTGAAGTGTCCTTACACTTCCGTTCTTTTCTCATAATGTGCCATACTTTTTTTTTGTATAAAACGATATTTTTTTTGTATAAAACGATGATATCACGTGACATCACAACAACAGCCTTTAATAGTCCACTGCTGGGCAAAGGGCACTCCTTAAAAAGGAGGTTTCGACCTACTATACCACGCTGGCCAGACGGGTTGGTATAGGGTTTGTGTCAAGTTTTCCTTCTCTCTGCAGTGTTGTTGTTCTGCGTATTTTTCTCCCTTAGTCGGCTCTTACGACACCCAAGGGATGAATAGGGGTGGTGATACCCTGTATTCTTAATCCGTTACCACACGGAGACGATGATATGCCAAATATAAATTTTCCTTTCCAAATCAAATTTCTGAGCTGATCCTATCGCCAGTATTGCAATACAAACCATACTTATAACAAATTAACTATCTACTCTTCCTGAAGATAGTTCTCATTAAATATGGATTTGTTTTCATATCACGCGAATGACATAAGCATGGCTCCGCATATGGGCTTGCAATTTTATACTACATACTATGTTACGTACGCGCACACATGGGGCGTTGTTTAAAAATATCTGTCTATATCTGTGGTTCGCTTCTACCGTTACAAGCCAAGATATCTAATCTGTAAGGCTCAATTTTTTATAATTAAACGATGACTAATAACGTTTTATATATATTGAAATTTTCGACAACCGAATGGCGTAGTGGTTTGTGTAACGGACTGCTATTCCAAAGGTTGCGGGTTCGATTTCCGCTCAAGTCAAACATTTGTGTGCATGAACATTTAATGTTTGGTTTGGTCTGGGTATTTCTATGTATAATATGTATACATTAAAAAAAAAAAGTAAATATGTATTTATATCAGTTGTCTAGTACCCATAGTACAAGCTCTGCTTAGTTTGGGACTAGATGGCGTTGTGTGATTGTGGTAGAATATTATATTATAATTAGTAATGGGTTATACGTAAATTACATCACATGAATATCACGAATTTTAAGCTTTCACTCACGCACTCTCTTTTTCACATACTTAAAGAAAGAAACTTAATTAAAGAAAACATTAACTCAAAATAATTAAGATTTTATCAAAATAAAGATCAAATTAAAAATTTTTTTACCTAAAAATTAACTTATCATGACTTAATATATCAGTAGATAATTTTTTAAATTTAATTTATTTGTTTACATGTGACGTATATGCTCACGCCTCTTCTCTTCGCCCCTCAGCGCATAATTTTGTTTACCACTTCCCCCTTACAATTACAATTAACAGATTGCGCGCGATTATGACAAAACATTGTATTTATATGCTACTTAAGGAATAAACTCAATTGTTATTGATGTTAAAGATTTCATTCAAGTGGCATTACTCCAATTAGTACTTGGTACTTAAAAGCGTACATTGTTAGGTTGTGCCACTTTGTTTTCAAGGAGGTACATAAAATGTACTCGTTTGTGTATTTTAACGTGATAATCACTCACACCTGTAGGTAATTTCGGATAAAAGCTTTTAAAACAGAAAGGATTTTAAATAAATATAGCCACTCCATTCAAAGATTTTAAGCGAACCAAAATAAGTAGAAACCTACCTAACTAAACTAAATGGAAGCTGTAATACATTTTGAAAGTTCATTCTGTTCCGGTTTTTAAGATTTCAAAATGTGAACTGGCTACATATATTGCTTTTGGAGTCAGCAAACACTTTATGTATCGTGAGTATCGAATTTACAAGTCTTCGAAGTTTAAAATATGATTAAAAAAGAAACAATTTTACTCTTTGCACAGGTGGTAGCTCTGACTCATTGCTTTTTAACCAATGGAAATTCATTAAAAAAATTGTAATGTGTTCTTTCTATGATTTTTGTCATAATTATGTTTCATAGATAATTTTAAAATTCGAACAGTAAATTCAATGATTGCTTACCATTATAATAAAAGTGTTGTGCTTTATGTATTATTAAAACTGTTTAAAGTCCTTCCATAAAGTTCGATATAATGAACATACTTATATTAAATGTCTTCAGACTCAAAAATCTCCAATCGTTGTGTAAACTCAAACGAAGTAATTAATCTCGCTCGCCTGCCAATTTATTGTAATGGTCATTAACGATAATTAACTTTTTAAAGTGGAGTACACATTTCTTATAATTCAGTTGGTTTTAAACCTTCTAAATGGAAGCATTCCTTTGGAAAAAGTAAAGGTATTATATAAATATAGGTATAAAGAATATATTTATTAAATAAGAAAAAACATTTAAAAAAACCCACAAAATAACGTTATTTTAGCTAGTAGTTTAGTTATTTAGGTTCGAAACTTAATTCCTGTCATCCATTAATATTTATTGGAAGCTATTCAGAATTTAAAAATGCCATATACGAATTTTCACGCAATGATCCACTTACGATAAGATGAAAGGCTCACGTGTCAAACTCGGAGTGGCCCTGTGTCACGTGCAAACAATGGACTTTATTTACCACGTGAAAATGTTAAGCTACCTAACTGCATTGTACATTTAAAAAAAATTCTAATTTCGAACACTACAACTTTTTTTGACATTGAATCAAAATTCAAATGCCGAATATACATGATTTCTTATGTAATTATATTTTTGTAATGTGTGCATTCGATGACTTACAGAAATATAATATAATATAAAACTTGTGTAGTGCACTTCCTTTACAGCCACATATTACTCAGTCTTATTTAAAAACCAAATACAATCTCTCGATATAAATAAAGACAAGTTTTTATTTACATTCATAAAAAGTTTATGGCATTAAAAGCTTTTTCACAAATATCAGTTCAAAAATCGTTTAAGATGAGATAAGATATTACATTTACATTCACCTCGACTTACAAATCTTATCTTAGTAAGATAAACGTAAAAGTATACATATAATATACTTTTACGTTTTGACACTTAATTAAAAAGGTATCGTGTGACAGAAACGTATGTTGACTGTTCTCCTCCATTTTCAGTACGTCAGATGTGCATTACGTAACACTTTCTGCATTGTATTTATTGGCTACCTTGACTTTGCTTTAAAAGGAAAAATTTTGTTATATCTGCACATTTTTCATTTATTTTTTACACCTTATTAAGAAAATAATGCAATGAGAACAAATGCTCAAAGTTCTCAACAGATATCATCGCGAAATGCAGATTAAAACACTGATCCCAAAAGACCTAAATTGATTGAAAAGTTTGAAAATATATCATACTCCTTTGTCCACAGTATCGCGACACGCACCACTCAGCCTTTCCACTTTGCCCTCGGCATTTTGGTCTGTTTCTTATGGTTAAGCAGTTCTGAGGGCAGCAGTAGTAACATGCGCGGCTGGACAGCGCTCTACGTCGGTGCAGTGGCCACTCATCTGGGAGCACAAATTTGGATGACGCTTATCTCTGGTAATTAACAAAAAAACATATTTTTTTTTACAATAAAACTTTTAATAATGTGACTGTTTTATTAAAAAGACTGTAAACACTTATTCAAATTGTTGTATTTGTAATTGCCCAACAGAAATGTTAATGTGATGTAAATTGTGCATGTTAACTGAATGGACATTGATACAAATCTATATTTTATTGTTACTAAAATATAATTCAAAATACTCGTATTGAGTATGAAGGACATCCATGCAAGTAGAACATCCCTATTACAAAATACGATGAACAGTACCAATATCATAACTAATACACCAGTATTTTGTGAAACAATATTAAATCTGTGAATTAATATAATATGTAATAATATGTATTCTTTTTGGAAACAACTTCAACAATGGAAACTGGACTTAAAACTCGTTCTATTTTCAAAGAAGTATTACGTTCCGTATGAGCATTACGTACGTGAAGGAACTGCAGGTGAATTAAAAAAATCACTCGTTGAGAAACACAAGTTTTTATAAAAGTAGCCAGTATTTGAGGAAGGCGGAACATTGTCATTATAAAATTTGGGAGAGGCTTCCTTTGAAATATTTAAGCAGGTTCTTGTTGCTTTTTGCTGTGCCTTGCAGCGAAACAATGTACATTATCAAATACCCTTAACATATTAGGTACAAAGTAGTTACGTATATAATTCATATGAATAATAAATACATTTGTTTGTTGTTTAAATTTAAAACACAAAATTTACTGACTAGGTTATGCTTAAAACAATGATTATGCAAGATGAATAACAAAGTATTCAGCATTTAATACTAATAATTGCTGCTTTTGTTTTTAAACAAACAAAAGTATTCAAACCATCGACAAACATCCGACCATAATGTTTAAAATAACGATGCAACATACTTAAAATAATACCAGGCTATTCAGTAACTTATAATTCATCCTTGATTATATAGTAGTAAATAATACATTTCACTATGTGTCTACATACATACATCTCGTTTATTTGATGATTAAAATAAGTAACATCAGAACAGACATCAGTATGCGTATTTTATTACTTAAGTAAGTAAATTACGAATTGAAGTCTGTCTAAACAATGAGTAATTAAAAACAATTTAAAAAGTATTTCGTAATGTACTTCGAAATTCAAATTACCAACAAAAAATGACAAATGATAAAATTGCGAATTAACCCATGGAGAATTTTAGATTGTAAAAAAAACGTAACCGAGCGAGCCTTGGTCAAGGCAACGACCGATCAATCGTGTCCATAGACTATTTATGATTATGTTACTTCTACACATTACTAAGAATCACATTCCTTCCCGATCTTCCTGTTTATGCTTCAAGATAAGCCCGCTAGCATACATGGCCTGCAATTTAACACTTCATTAGCGATAATTAAAGCGTTTACTTAAAGGAATAAGGAAATGGTAACTTTATAAACAATAGCAATATATTGGCAAATAAACCCAGGGTTTTATTATCGTCAGACGTCGTATTTTATTATTGAACCAAGTCTCGGGACAAATCATAATGTTTTGAGGTCATTTTAATTCAAGACACAGAAAAGATTCTCGAAGTATTTTATGGACTTTATGTATTTAATAGAGGGATTATTTATTCATAAGAGAAACATATTTCAATTTAAAAAATATAGAGACAACTTAATAAGCTAAAATAAAAAAATCATAAACATGGGTTTATAAATATTTGGTACCAACCTCATTTAACAATCGAAAATGATCAACAAAGAAAAGATTTAATGAAAACTATTTTTTATTTTGCTTATTTATATTTCCAAATTAAAAAACGAGTATCTGTTTCAAAATCGCATATGAGTCTTTATATCGTAGACAGTAGGCGGAGTAAACTTCATTCAAAGCCTTAACGAATACCTAATTTGCATTTTAATTGGCCGAATACAAAAATATCCAAATTACTGGATCCAATCTGGTTGGTTGCTACGGCAGCAGTTTGAATGGAAAATCCTTTTTTTGAGGTAATACCGAATATTCAATAATTCAAAATTAGATGCCTGAAATTAACCTTCTATTTCAGGAGTTCTTAGTTTCTTAACTACGCCTTTAATCTCCGTGTAACCTTTAAAACCCGTTTTTATTGATTTATTAATCAGATAATAAAAAGAGAACAGTTACATTGTACAAGTGTCCGTATTTTATTCAACTTTCGAATATTGCAGTTCAACATTAAAAAATACTTTTAATTAATTCAAAGTGTGACTTAATAAATTTTCACTTAATTCAATATAGACTTGGCAGCATTCAATATTGTTTGAATGTTGCTACCGGCGAACTCTCACGTCATATCTACTCATAACAATATGTAAGTTTTGTGGTATTCCATTTAAGGACTGTGTCATATTTTTTCTTAGAGTTAACACGATGACAGAAGGGAAATGAGATAAAATACTTCCCATAAATGCGGCTTACTTTAGCTGTAACGTCCAACTTTAGCTCAAAATTCCAAAATCATCAAAATTCTATTGAGTTTCCATACTCAATCATTTCTATCACCGGGTCATACTTAGAGCATTACGTATTGTATTGTTTCAGTTGAGACAACGTTAACTATTTAAATAAATATGTTATTATCTGCAGATTTAGAAATCGCCTTTATTAAGCCGACTAATGTACTGTGATTGGTAGAATAATATTCTTTTTTCAATTGTATTAATAGTGTACAATATATTACATTTCATCTATGGTTGTAACAAAAACAGTTGCTTGGCACGATATATGTAGTTTCATTTATGACACAACGCTTTCCGGGTTCGGGCATATCAATATGACCTCAAGTCCTAACCGCAGCACGCCATTCGAGATTCCAATCAATTTCCTTTTCACAGCCCCTACACCCATTACGTACTTAGCTTCTACTACATCACATAGGACCAGACAGACATATCCAGTATTTGTTAGTATTTGTTATCTATTAGTCGCTCTGGTAATATATTTTTAAGCATTTAGTATGTACTTAGATATATGAAATATAACGTTAAACGACACTGTTGCACAGAACAAACTAAAATATCTTGAAGTATTCTGTCTGTCCTGTTCTATCATTTTAAATAATAACATTCTAGAAGTAAGATTTGAAATTTGGGCTTGGCAGTATATGGCTACAAAGAGACTTTTTTTTTAAGTTGGTATACAAGAAAGATTTCTAACCAGCGTTTTTTATTCCAGGTGTTGTGCTATACTTCTCGCTCCCACGTCATGAATTCGGCCGTGTGCAGACTGTCCTATTCCCCGTGTACTACGCTTTTAATGCCGTCATCAGTCTTCTGGCATTGGTATCTTACTACAGAATGCAGTGCCTTACAAAGTTTGAAAATACATCCTGGGTACAGGTAAGATTTATGATTAAATCTTTTTAAGAGAACCTCCTTTTTCACAAGCTCTTACGCTGGTGGTCTTTGATAAAAACTCTGCATTCTGAAGACCTGTAAAGTTGAATCCCTAATAAACATTTTTTCTCAAAAGCATGACAGTTGAGACCGTTGCTTCTTCGGAATGGAACGAATGGACGTACGGAGTGAATGAATGTCTGAAACAATTTTGTTTTTGTCTTTGACTCATACAAATGTATATTATATATGCAATATAATTTAATAATAAATGCTACGTACAGGTGATAAATTAAAAACAAAATCGTTCCCATTCATAAGTAAGAGGTAAATTGTGTAGACCATTGACAATTTTCGCTTGAGTGAATGCTATTGACACTAATGTTTCGTTGCATAAATATGGAAGTACTTAATCATTTTTAAATGAAAAAGTCAACATTCCGAATTTTCGGAATTGATAATAAAATATACACCTCATAAACGGTTTCCATAGTCTACAGATGAAGGATGTCAAAATATAATAATATAATGTTTTCCGACATCTAACACACAACGCCATCTAGTTTCAAACTAAGCAGAGCTTGAACTAAGAAAGCTTGATTGACTAATAGAATACTTATAAATATATAAACATTTACCTTATTTTTGTAAATACATACATATTACAAATGGAAAACACCCAAACTCAAAAAAAAAAATCAGATCATACAAACATTTGGTCCGACCCGGGAATCAAACTCGAGACCTCGGTACATAAGTTGCACACGCTACCACTGCACCACCGAAGCAGTTAAACGAATTCAAATTTTAAATTTGGAAGCAAAGAATACTATTACTACTTCTTTATGCATATTTAATATGACCTGTGTATTCTCGTATATTTAATACATCTAAAACATTTCAAACAAATCACCTGAAAGTGTGTAGAAAGTACTTTTAAGACTTTTATTACATTTATAAATAACTACTTACTGTGCAAGTCAAGAGTTTATCTTGACTCTTGACTTAAAATTAAATGTCTCTACAAGTCTCTGCATTAATAGTACAAAGTTGATACATGATTTATTTCTATAGAATTTATTTACGAAGCATAAATTTAACATAACTGCGTCTTATTGATAACAATGCAGGATTTTAATGGGTGTCAAGACCTACTGCCGTCTTGAATTGTCGGAATATTATATCTTATTTGCGGCAAATGATAGTAAATTATAAAATAAAGTAGATGTGACCCTAGAGTCCACATACACAAACAGTACAAAAACAATTTAATACATTATTAATTATTATACTCAGAAATTGGCATTCGATGTTTGTAATGTCAGTGTCACAATAGTGGCGCTAAAAGAGATTTATATATTTTTTTTAATATGGGCCTTTTGATGCACTGTATAAGGTCAGTCTAAATTGCGTTATAAAAACTCTTTCATGTTTTTTTTTACATATTATGCATTGAAACGTCATTAAATTAAATATCTATTCATTCGAAACCAACAGTTCAAATTTGTATTTCTAAATTAGAACATGCATATAACAGAAATATAGTATCATTGAGCAATATATCAAACAAATTCTACTTTATAATTAATAGCAAAGAGAGGTGAAAACCTTGAATCACTGTGAAACATTTTTTATTTTCTTTGTGACTGTTCGCAAAGATAATAAATTACAAGATAATGTTAAATCTGCGTAATAAGTATATAATATGAACTCAAGGCTCTTTTTAAAGGCCAAAAGATTAACTTGCCCCGGATAACTGACAGATTAATAAGAGCTTGTCTTATCTTGGAAAATTGGCGCCATTTTTATTACACTTCAGGAACCGGATATAAGGAAGCAGATAACGATAATGTTTTTTTTTTAATGAAGTGACAAGATAGGTCAGTTATGTTAAACATAGAAAAAGTCGTTTCGGTTACTGTGCGCATTAACTGTTAAATACGTTTATATGAATTATAATAAATAGCGTAATTGTTGATTTATTTATTGATGTTATTGATATAATACTCTTCGGAGACCTTCGATAGTAAATAGTCTTTATGACACCTATTAGTTTCATAATTTTAATAAACCTACATTTTCTTTACAATACACTTATAATTTTCCTAACATTAATTTCTAACATTAATTTCACTCTATTACGTGATTGGAACCAATTTTTCCCGCACACACGGCCCAATGCAGAGCCTACACTACGCTAACCAGATTTCTAATGAACTTAAATATTACGAAACACATACACTCAGTACTGAAATAAATACTGTGTGTCGATCGAAGTCTTGACGTCCGGCTAAGCATTTAAGATCACCTAGCCCTAAACTAAAAGAGCGGTTATAAACTAAATGTTACCAAAATGTTATTTAAAAGGCCTCTACCTACCTCTTTGGTGGTGTGTATGTATGTATTTTATTAAATGTTTATATTCTCTTTGTTACAGTTAGCTCTGTTGCTAGCAGTATTCAGTATAGAATCTTACGTGCGCTTGCGTCTGGTGCGCCCGATGCTCCGGGCAAAGCACGTCAAGACACAGATGGAGGAGGCTGCGGGTAACGGAAATGAAGTGAGTACCACTTTTATAACAGATTATAATAATAAGAATACAACCCTTTATTTCTTAATAAAAGTAGCAAAACACTAAACAGATTTAAAAGTTTAAGTTAAAAGTATATTAAATTGAGGACCCTTTGTTACCATTTTTAATATCTAGTGCATTAATGACGTAAAAAATTTAATAAAAAAATGGGAACCGGGCAATTTTTTAGTTTTATATGGCTTTCGATTTAGTATTTAGAGAAATAAAACGCAATATACTGTATGTTACATAACTGAATACACATTCATTTAATCAACTCCAATACTCAAGATATTTTTCAACAGATACTTAAAACAACAGTAAGCAGTATTTAAAATATTGATGACAATAAGTTGACGTCAAATGTCATCTGACAATAAAAATTCTTGTTTAAATAGTCGATTAAACGAACACGAATGAATTTTTTATACACGACACATGTATTACAGCGACCATCGAGTGAATATTTCATAACTACTTATAAAATAACCTTAATTTTTACATCATTAAATGACCATTTGCAGTATTGGCAAATAAGAAAATATGTCTATTGTAATATCTATCATTTATTTAACAATTTTGAATAATATTGCATCATTTTATTAGATGTTATCTCAGTTTTTTGATAAAATAGACTACGTATTTCACTATATTTAGAATACATACTCGTACTCTCACAGCTGATATGGAAAGTCGATCTGTATCAGTGCTTAACAAAATTTTGTGAGCGTCACTTCATTTCATAAATTTGAAGAATTAAAAAAAGTTTATCATCATAGACAATGATTGTTTGTTATGGTGGCATTAACATAGTTGATAGAGTTTTTAAGCAAATATTAGCTGTTTTAAAAATTACTTCAGATTAAAATCACTCCCGGTAACATTTCTTCTATCCCAACTCATAATTTTTAATTAACCTATATAAGTTAATCTTCTTCAATTTACCCCAATTGTTAAAATACTATAAGAACACAAATTTGTTTTTTTTTTGTAAATCTGCTCCTTTACTCAAAATTGGTTTCCTTGTTTTAGGTCGGTCGCCTAGTCCTAGGCGAGCTGGCACATTGTCCCCGCTACCTTCGTGTACTGAAGACCTTCAGGACCTACCACTCTAGTATAGCTATGGGTACCATGATAGCGCTCGGTTGTTCCTTATATTCGACTATGATTATAGTGGATTCAGTGTGCCGCTAATTGAATTTCGCAGCACTACCTGAGCATATTTATTGATTACATAAAGTTGAATTATAAAATATTGAAAATTATAAAAAATTAAATGAAAATGTGCTAATTTGAAAAATTAGTACTTATTTGGACTAGAAAATTTTAAAAGACCTTGTTATGAACGCTTACGTTTTCGAAATGGCAACAATTCAGCAATATTTTTTTCTTGTTTTTTTTTCTTATAAAACAAACTAGTTTGTTACGTTTTTTAAATTACGCAAAGGTTGTATAAACAGATCTGTATTACATGTTCGAACTTGTAAGTTTACATAGCATTAGTAAGTCGTAATATTAAGGGTTGATTTCAATAATGCATAACTGTTCTAGTTCCAATTCAGGCTGTGAATGTCTGTACTGCCGCGTTTTATAGAAACGTTAATACATTTTATAGTAGTAAAACGAAAAGGGTGATTCGGTAGGAGAGATGAAAACGATAGTGGTGAAAACAGGCGCTGGCCGAACGAATTGCTTCCAAGAGAAACTTGAAAGTGAATGTTCCAAATTAATAGTAGTTTATAATTCATGCTTTAGCAGAGGCGACTAAACGCGCCATCTTTTAGTATTAAGCTTTGATAGAAAATTGTTTTCACTCACCTGTAGAGATCATAACATTGTTTTGTAAAGAAATTAACAATCATTTGGCAGGCTAACAAGTTTTAGTTTATAAGGATAATAAAATTAATTATAGTCTTGCCAATGCAGAATGGCGGCCATTCGGTCGATGTAAGCAGCAGCCCCATCTATAAGCTGCTTGATTTATATAAAGACTAGTGTTGTTTGCTCTCTAATTTCCTGCAATACTGCCATAGTATAGCGCTAAGTGTAGCAATAAGTAGTATAAACTCTCGCCAACGCATTTTCTGCACACCAAATGTTAGATGCTCCTTGAACGCAGGAAGTTATGAGCACGCAACTTTTGTGACGTTTTTGGCGCTCGACAATTAACTATTGTAGACGAGTGCTGTTCTCGGAAACTTGCAAGTGTTCACGACTTGCCAAGCGATTGCTCGCTAATGTTTTATCGTTGTGACGACTGAACTATCTAGTCAGCGACGACGACGCGAACGTAAAATAAATGTTTTACAGAATCGCGCGTTAGTGAAATCTGAGCTTAAAAGTAGTTCATTTAAATATATGTATTAATTTAAAATAATATATATTTAAGTGATACCTTTAATGTCAAGCAGCTTACGCCTATTTGGCTGAGGGTTTGTTTAGCTAATTTTAACTAAATATAAATTTATATTATAAATAATTTTAGTTATTTGTAAAGTTTATTTAATCCAAACATGTGAATATTATTATGTGTTAGATTAGATTAAACTCAGATCATTTTAATTCATTGTAATTGTCACTTACAATTGGCATGGTCTTACAATGATCTGAGTGTTTACGTGAAATGATTATTTATTTGTGAATCTTAAAAAAAAAGTAATGAAAAAAAATACAACTATTATGAAAATCATTGAGTTTTCTTTTTATTTACCTTTTTTAGTAGAACTGTAAACAGTTACACATGAAATAGTACCTCGAAGTGGTACAGTAAGTATGATGATGATAATTGTTTACGTTTCGACACATTCTTTAAAAGCAAAAAAAAATTCTCTGTGGCTGAGAAAGTACTCAAACGCATTCACCTGTCACCGCATCGTTTAGGTACGAGTACTTACTGTTTACCCGAGAGGGAATGCCCAACCACTGGGTTTGGCATTCCCTCCCGTCTGGAGACCGGTCTTGAATTTGTCGAAACTTGTCAGTAGTCACGTACCGCAATCCTCACCTACCTACCTTACATAATTTCTTGACGTTTAAGTACTGCAGAAGTTCTAAGGACAGAAACAAGTTTGCAAATAAAATTTACAGAAATACATAAATTAATAAAAAATACAGAAAATTGTGAAAATAATGAACTCGACAACACAAAAACATTTGTTTATTAGTTTAATTGGTTTTAAAAATCTATCCGCCTTACATCCGGCCAAACCAGTTAGAATTCTAACATTTGTTGTCTGTGGTCATTTGGCGCCAATAATTTATAGATTGGCGCCCAAGGCGACAACAGATGACCGCAAATTATCAGAATGACAGAATAATGAATGAATGAATAAGTTAGCATCTTTATTTAACACTCATGATTATGTATTGTAAAGGTTTTGTATAGTGTTGTTGAAGGATTTATGAATATATTTTTTTAGTATAGTCGGTATTAACGACTTTGCTCGCAATAAAATTAAGTGAAGAGAAAAAAATCGAAAAAACTTTTATCTCACAATAAGCCGTAGATTACTTAAAACGGAACAGTAAAGGAATAAATTCGACCCAAATATAAGCGTATCTAGGGTGGGCAAATAAGTTGAGGCAAACTGTTGAGTTCCAAAATATATCAGTTTGTACTATTTGTATGAAATCGAGGCCACACGTCCGAATGCGTAAGAGAAACAACATAGTCTCGGGTTGGATTCCCGGGTCGGACCAAATGTTTGTATGATCTGCAAATATTTGTTTCGAACTCTGGGGAGTTTCTATGTAGAACATGTACCTATGTATTCCCAAAACAAAGTAAGTTTATAAGTATTCTATCAGTCAATCTAGTTTTCATAGTTCAAGCTCTGTTTAGTTTGAAACAAGGTGACATTGTGTGTCATATGTCCGAAAATATTATTATTATAACATAATGTCATTTTGTCATAAAAACATAGTTTTCAATAAAAGACCCTAATAAAGCGTTTTGTACTTATCTTAACCTTAAATACGAATCCAAAGTAAAACAAATAGGTATAGGCCATTTCCTCTTCATAGACCCGGGATTGCCAAACTTATTTAGGCAAGCGAACCCTTTTCTAAAATGAGCTGATACCTCAGACCCCAATATATGATAGCCAATTACTGCAACCTTATCGACTTGTTAAGTTTTTTAAAAGTACAACAATGATACTTCCTACTAAAATATTAGTCATTCTTATAACAAGCTAACACAATTAATACAGTATCTTGAAAGATTCAAATGAGAACTTGTGTTAATTGATAGGGGTCTATTTTTAGACGTCGTCGACCCCCAAAAATGAGTTTTCGTTTATGTCGACTCATGGGAAACCGATTTCGACCCAAGGGGTCGATATCGATCACCAACAACAAATCCACCGGTCTTGACCCTGTTACATCCTCGAAATGTGTGAAAAGAAAGCGCCGGAAAGCGCTCAGCTTACAGACTGTTAAATTTTGAAATATTGTACGTATTTCTGGCAATATCAATATTTTTATCGTATACGTTTTTATCAAAAACAATCCCATATTTTCAACCTTAATGAAGTTTCTCTAATATCATCGGAAGAGTCAAAGGCCATGTGCTTCGCTTCGTGTAGTGTGACCGCAGCGTGTCATCATCATCATCAACAGCCTTTACTAGTCCTCTGCTGGACATAGGCCTCTCCTTAGAAAGGAGGTTTTGGCCTACTATACCACGCTGGTAAGACAGGTTGGTATAGGGTTTGTTTCAAGTTTTCCTTATATTTGCAGTGCTGTTGTCCTGCGTAGTTTACTCCCTTAGGCGGCTCTTACGACACCCACGGGATGAATAGGGATGGTGACACTCTGTATTCTTAATCCGTCACCACACGGGGTACTGATGTCATTTTAACTGTGGCTTATTCACTGTTACTATGAGATAGGCTTGATATCCTATTCCTAATTTGTATACTTCTTACTTTTTCCCAAACTAGCTCGGGGTCGGTTTCAAGTCTACTACGATACGGCTGAACTTCTACGCGGAGGGACTGCCATCAGCCCTCCACAACCCAAGTAGGCGATATCAAAGTTCTGTAGAAACTGCTGTTGGTTTTTTTTTTAGGGTTCCAACTACCTGTAATGATTATCCTAAACTTTATATATATCACCGTAAAATTACTATAAAAACCACTATAAGATTATAATCTGTCTTGGGCGATTAGAAACAGTCGAAAGATTGTGAATGTTTACAAGTTAACGCATTTTTACGTAGATTATAATCTATCGAAGTGAAACCTATCTATCTATCGAATATAACATATTTATCGAAGAGAGGGGTTAACGGGAATACTAGTAATTTCGGTTGCTAGTAGACCTTTAAGAAAAACCGTCGTATTGTGATTTTTTTTTATGAACCTCTTTCTCTGAGACATTAAATCTAATTAAATCTATACAAATAAATAAAATTGGAGTGTCTGTTTGTAATAATAAAATAACCGCTTTTTCCTAAAAACATATGTATGTTTACACGGTACATATGCCAAAATAACATTTTTTACAATTTTTGTCTGTCTGTCTGTCTGTTTGTTTGTTCCGGGTAATCTCTGGAACGGCTGGACCGATTTCGACGGGACTTTCACTGGCAGATAGCTGATGACACAGGGCGTTGCCCGCGGTTATAACAACAAACGCGGGTAACACCGCGGGTCTCAGCTAGTCTAAAGTATAATTTTACTATGCTCCGTTCGGTTCGGGTTCGGTTGACGACAGATTACAATCTCGCTAGATAGATTGTAATATAAGGATATTTATAATTTTAAGGGGTGAAATAACATATCCACTTAGGGTTACCAACCTTTACTTTGTAGGTTTAAAAGAATGCGTGAAATGTCACGCGCTAGCTGCGTGAGATAGGCGCTGTTGGTGCGTACGCAGTCTTTCTAAAGACGTCATGAGGCTTTTGAGTACAAGTGGCGATAATACAGAGCTATACAAAAGTACAATTTTATGTAGTTCAGACAGATATCTCAAATATTTAGAATGGATAGATTCTAATGACATCGGATTATTATTAGGAATATATCCTGTGTCGCGGGGCACTTTACAAACATACATGAAACGGACAAAAAGAACACCCAGACTCAGAACAACAATTTGTGGATCAAACCCCACATGGGACACAAAAAGTGTCGTCCCATGTGGGGTTTGAACCCTCAACACTCGGCGCAGTAGGAAGCGGCGTGGTG